GCCCCTGTGTCCCCGAGGACTACTCTGCTCATCCAGCCTGGGCTCCGTTCCACTTCCTACCCTGGGACCCGCTTCATGGTTTCTGGGGCACATGGAGTCCCACTGTGTGCCTCAGTGTCTCGTCTGCGGGACAGATGCGACAGCGGCGTCGACCTCGCAGAGTCGCGGCAAGGCCGAGGGACGGATGTTCGCGAAGGGCTCGGAGCCAGGCCCGGCACTCGGCAGGCGCCGTCACGCCAACTTCCCGCCGGTCCCAGTGGCGACACCCGGCAGTGGTTCGGAAGTGGCAACACTTTCCCCAGGGAGGGGCCCCAAGGATGGCATCGGTTTCCCCTCCTGTCGAATGGGCACAGGTGTCTGTTCACCCTCCAGGTGGCTGGGACTCCAGAAGGAGCCAGCGTGTAGCTCCCGTGCAGAGGCGCCCTGCTGGGCTCCGCTGGGCCAGGCCATTGGGGAGTGCTGTGGTGCCCCCCGTGGGCCTGGACCCTGAGGAGGCCCTCATGTGAGGGGCACTCACTTTGGGCTGGCAGCAGAATTGTGGTGTGGAAATGGCCCACAGCTGTGCCATCCCTAGGCAGTGGCCAGGACACAGTTGGAACCGGGGAGGTGGTGGGGATGGGGCTGGGGCCAGGAGGGTGGCGGCCACAGGTGCCAGCCTGGCCCTCCCACCCCCACAGTCCACAGGGCGAAGGCTCGGGCCAGCCCTGGGCTGAGAGGCCAGTCCTCAGAGGCCGCCCTTGTGCCCAGTGCATCTGGGCCATGTGTGGCCTGCACCGCCCTCGGGGGAGTTCACGTCTTTCCTCATTTCTGCTTTCCTGGCGGGTCTTGAGACCAGCGGGGTCTGAGCCAAGTTCTAAAAGGCGACCCTGGCATGGCCTCAGGGTCACTCCTGGCCAGTGCTGAGTCAGGAAAGTGGGCCCAGCCGAGCTCCACTTCCCGGGACCCTGCCTGCCGGCACTTCCTGCTGTTTTGCCGGGACTTCCTTCCGGGAGCGCAGGCTTGGTGCTGGGAGACCCTCTCGTGGCCTGCGTCCCAGGCCGGCTGGGGGCAGGTGGCGCAGGCGCAGGCTTGGACGCTGGGCCTCCCACGTGGCTCCAGTCTGTGCGCGTGGCACCCGGGGGTGGGCCCAACAGCTCATGCCCCACCCTGGTGGGCTAGGCAAGGGCTGCCTGCGGCCCCGGGGTCTCAGCACACAGAGGGGGTGCTCAGCTCTCAGGTCCCTCCCTGCCTGCAGGTGCCGGCTGAGCCCAGGGGAGGGGCCCTGAGCAGGCCAGGCTGTCTAGACTTGAACCCGCAGGCCAGGCAACCCAGCCCTGGAGGCCCTCTGGTCCTGCTCAGCCAGGAAGCCCAGTGCCCCGGTCTGTCCTTTCTTTTCCTGCTCACTATTTTCCATATGCCGCCAGTTATGACTTGATGGAGTCCACTGGGAAGTTGAGTCTTTCGAAGAGGTGAGAGCCGGCGTGGAGGACAAGGAGCCCGCTGGCCCTGCCGCCCCCTGCTCGCTGCTCCCTGCAGCCCCTGGCCTCCGAGTCCAGCCCGTTCAGCCCCAATCACACCCCCGCATGCCTGTTGCACACATAAGGAAGCTGAAACGCAGAGTGGTCACCCTGCAGGTCAGCTGTGCCTGGCTCGGGGACTGCTGGGGAGGCTCCGTGGCCGTGCCCAGCCTGCTCCTTGCAGGTCCTGGGGAGGGACAGCACTTGTGCGTCCCCACAGTTGAGGGGCCATAGGCCCCCCACCCCAGCCGCTTCCATCTGAGCCCTAGGTGGGCCGGAGCTCCCATTATGCTGGCCAGAGCCAGGCCCGGAGGCGCAGGCTCAAGTCCTCAGCCAAGGAGGCCGAGCTGTGGCCACAGGACCACATGGCCTGCCCCCAGGGGAGGCCATCTGTCCACAGGTGGTAGCATGGGGAGCCATGCATCTCTGTGCAGAGCTAACTCTCTCCCCCAGCTCCTTCCTAGCTTGTAGAGGAGAAATGCCCAGCCTCCAGCCCAGCCCCTGGTGCTGGGAAAGTCCCATCGTCCTGGGCACACATTAACCAGGGTGTTTTTCCCTGCACTGCTCAGGCCACTGGGGCTGGGTGCCCAGCTCAACTCCTGGCAACCGGGCAGGCCCAAAGGCTCCCAAACCTGTGGAAGGTGGGCCCCCGCCGTCCTCAGGCCCTTCCCGGGACAGTGGAAGGAGCCCAGACGGGGCGTGTGTGTCTGTCCTTCCTGGGACTCACCGTGTGGTGTCAGCTCCAAGGCCCAGAGCACCGAGGTGGGAGACGGGGAGGCAAACCAGCCCTGCAGCCCCTCCCCATCTGCGTGGCACTCGGCGTCAGCCCACACAGCCTGGGAGGGCCGCTGCCTGGGGCGAGCACTGACTGTGCAGTGTTCTGGGACGGCCCTAAGCTCTGGGACAGTCCTGGGAGGTGGCCCTGGGCAAAGCCCCTCTGAGCCTCCCTCTCCTGGACTGTGGAATGGGAAAGTAACACACCCTCTCACGGGAGGGTGGGCGGTGTCCTAGGTGCAACCTGGACATACCGATGGGGCAACGGAGGCCAGCGGGGGGGGCATGCTGCCAGAGCCACGGTGCCGGGCTGTACCGGGGACTGACCCGGGCACAGAGGTCTCCCTGGCTCTGGGCCTGCAGCTGGGCTGTGCTCCTATCATGGGGCAGGTTGATCAGGAAGCAGATGGCCGGATGGGTGGGAAGCACCCTTCCCCAGGAGGGGTGTGTGGGTTGGGGCTTTTGCTGGCCACCCAGGGCTCTGAGGACGTTGCGGAGTGTCTGCTGTGGAGCCCTGTGGCATACGTGGGAGACTGAGGCACGGGTGGGGTTAGCTGTCTTGAGGTCACAGTTGGAACCTGGGGCCAGAAGCCTCCAGAGCTCAACCGCCCAAGGGTCGCTCCACCCCTCCTACACCTCTGCCAGACCCCAGAGAATGGTGGTGTCAGCTGCCAGGGCTTCTGCGCTCCGGGCCCTGGGTTCAAATCCCAGCCCAGCTCTCACTTGCTATGTGGCTTTGAATAAGGGCCCTCCCTCACTGCGTCTCAGTTTACCCATCTCCAGTGGGTTTGAGGACAACAGGGCAGGTGCCGGGACACTGGGGGTGCTGAGAGCTGCAGCTGGGGGCTGGGGCCCTGCCTCTGAGGGGGCCGTCGTGTGTCAGAGCGTCCCTCATGGCTGCAAGGCGGCAAAATACTTAGGTAGTTCTGAAGAGCTCAGAATGAACCCAGAGGCTAGCACGGTGAGCCTAGGCGCATGCACATTCCTTACGTACGTGTGCGTGTGGTTTGTGTGTGTGTATGTGTTGTGTGCAGACATGTGTGTATCTCGTGAGTGTGTGCTGGGGTGTAGATGCGTGGGTGTGTTTACGTGTTTGGTGTATGTTTCCATGCATTTGCGTGTATGTATGCCCTTAGGGGGTCTGCACGGGGCGTTGTTCTCTTGGCACCAGGCCCGGCATGGGGCCGAGGGACACGTGGGCGGCCTTGGGAAGGCACTCAGGCACTTAGTGTTCACAAAGCTGAGCAGTGTGTGCCCGCTGTGGGCCCTCAGCCTCTGGGCACCTGGCCCCCGGTGGAGCACACGCACCATGGCATGGGGCCAGCGGGGGGGGGGGGGGGGGGGGGGGGGGGGGAGCGAGCTGAGGACAGTCGGTGGCGGGCTCGGGTCTGTCCGCGTGGGCCATTACGCCGAGCCTGGGTGGGAGTGGCCAGGTCCTGGACATGCTGGGGCCTGGGAGAAGCCCAGTGTGGGACAGCAGAACAGAAGCGCTGGGTGGCTTCTAGGCATGGGAAACGGCCGGAGAGCGGCGCCAGGGGCCGGTCCAGGCGGGGGCCTTCCCTGTGTCCTCCCACGTCAGACTTGGGCCCACACCGGTGTGCTGCTCAGAGAATAGCCGGCGCTGAGGGCGGGTGGTCAGGAGGACCGGCAGGGCCCCGTGCAGGCAGCCGACACCGTGTCCCTCGGCGGCCCACCCTTCCTCCGGGCACATCGCTGTGGGTGAGGTGTCAACTTTCGTGCCCCCGTGGACAAAAGGCCCCCGCCATGCTGGCTCTGACCAGCCTCCTCAGGTTTTTCACGGTGAGACTGCCCAGCCTTCGGAAAGCAGAGGCGTGGGTGCCCGCACCACCCTTCTCATAGCTGGGGCCCGGGCTCCCGTCCTCCCAGCCTCCCAACCTGCATCTTTTATGAGTCTGGAAACAGGATATCCCAGAGCGGGCCCCAGGAGGCTGGCCGCCAGCCATGGGTTCTCGCGCTGCCTCCCACCGGTGACCAGGCCTGGCGGTCATCCTGAGTGACGGGGGCGTGGCCTTCCAGGGAGCTCGGGGGGCGCCTGGGGGGAGAGGAAGCCGTGTGCTTTGAGCTGCCTTGGCATGAGGGCTGTCCCCAGAGCTGACCTCCCATGGCAGGAGGGAGGACATGCGTTGCCCGGGGAAGTCCTGGGAGGCTGCCTGCCGGCAGTGGCTTCTGTCCAGGCGGGGCCTGGGAGCGACAGGGAAATGGCAGGGGACCCTCACGAACAGGTGTCCGAGTCCAGAGGGAAGAGTGTAGGGCGATGCCAGGCCAAGAGATCCAAATTCTACCCCTGTGATGACTGAACATTTAGGAGGAAGCTGGGCTTCAATGTCCGTCATACAACGATGCATCTGCTGAGCGCCTGCTGTGTGTGGGAATGGCTGGGTGCCACACCTCAGCAAAGCGCCTGACCCTTCCGCAGGCCTGCCCTGAGGCCGGGGCTGGGGGCGGACGGTGGTCACCCAGCCTCACACCCAGGCCTGGCCAGGCGGGGCTTGTTTCGCGCCTGTGCCGGTGTGCTCTGGTCCTCTGCCCGCACCTCGCTTCCCTTCCAGACAGCAAGCCGAGATCCACATCCCCGGGTGGGGCGGGCTGGGGGCACAGCGGGCGGGGTGGAGGGGAGGAGTGCTCCCCTCCCCACGGCAGGAGACCCAGGAGTGCGCTGGGGCTGCTGCCCCCGTCTCCCTGCCCCAGGACTTCACCCAGGGGAGGTTTATGAGGGTCAAGCTCCCTCCAGCCTGGAGGAGGAGCGCTTGCAGGGCGGGGGCAGGCGCAGTCCGTTCCCACAATTCCCTGCCCCCGCAGCCGCCCCGCTGGGGCTGGAGGCACCGGCCCATCAACGTGAACCACTACGCCAACAAGAAGAGTGCGGCCGAGAGCATGCTGGACATCGCGCTGCTGATGGCCAACGCGTCCCAGCTGAAGGCCGTGGTGGAGCAGGGCCCCAGCTTCGCCTTCTACGTGCCCCTGGTGGTGCTCATCTCCATCTCGCTGGCTCTGCAGATCGGCGTGGGCGTACTGCTCATCTTCCTAGGTAGGCCGGCGGGGGCCGACTCCGCCACCCCTGCGCTCTCCTCCGGGGCCCGGCCCCGGAAGCGGCTTCTTCCGACCCTGCGCTTGCGGAGCACACACAGGACCAGGGTGGTCAGGGCCCGGGCCTGGGGTTCGGAGTGCTGCTGCCTCAGCCCTGGTCCGTCTGGTCTTCACGGTCCGAGAGAGGCCGGCCACAGCTCTCAGTGTCCCTGGCACAGGCTCAGGGCTGTGCTTGGCGACAGTTGTCCAGGGATGAGAGGGGAAGCCAAAGCACCCAGGAGGCGTGGGAGGATCCTGGGCCCAGGGGACGTGGGCTCCCTGGGCCCGGAGAGGTGAGGGGACCCTGGGCCAGTGGCCTCCAGCCAGTGACTGAACCTCCTGGGGCCTCGGTTTCTCTGCCTGTAGAACGGATGCGATAACCGAGCCTTCGGTAGTTGCAAGTGTCAGTTAGGCGCAGGCGCACAGAACTCCGTGCATTTCCGCAGAAACCAAGCCTGGCCTTGGGGTGGCGTGTGTGAGCGCCCGTCCCTCATGGAGAAGGCTGGGGACCTCAGAAGGTGGGGTCCCAGCCAGCAGGCTGCCCAAGCCAGGTGCCCTCCTGCCGGCGTTCTAGTGAGACGTGTTTTTCACTGGGGGACAGACATGCCCTCGGCACAGCTGAGGGCCCGCAGCACCCACGTGGCGGGGCCTGGCACACACACCCCTGAGCTTCCTCCATGTCCGGGGGGGCTCTGGGCCACCACTGAACCGTCCGCCCTCTCACCCACAGTCAAGTATGACCTTAACAACCCAGCCAAGCACGCCAAGCTGGATTTCCTCAACAACCTGGCCACTGGCCTGGTGTTCATCATCGTGGTGGTCAACATCTTCATCACAGCCTTCGGGGTCCAGAAGCCCATACTGGACGTGGCGCCCCGGCAGTAGGCCACCCAGGTGAGCTGGGGGACGGGCGGAAGGCTCGCCGGTGCCTCCAGGCTGGGGGCCCTCATCCACCCCGTGTGGGCCGTACCTGGCCTCTTGCCTTGAGGCCAGCCCTGCCCCGGCCACGAGGGCCTGTGGTCACCGTGTTTAGACACACGCTTTGGGACCCCCAGCCAGCCCTCCCAAGGACACACTTGGAGATACATCTGGCTCCTCTGGATACACGCACGACTCTGCACCCCCTTCGGCCCCACTTGGCGGGGGGCTCTTCACCTGAGCTGCCACCTGCGAAAGGGGCTGTGGCATGACCCCTGCCGATGTGCCCACCCGACCGTGCCCTCTGACCAGGATGGTGGGATTTGGGAGCCCCCTGACACCTGATTCTTCCCCCTGCTGCCTCACCTGCCTGCTCTGGGGGGGGGACCCTGGCTGCGTGGCCCACTCGGAAGGAGGCCGTCCCCTCCTCAAGCACAGGACAGGGGCCCCAGGGCAGGAAGTGCTTCCCACCCGTGCCTGGCCACTCCCTTCTTCCTTGCTCAGAGAGGCAGGCATCTGCCTGAGGATACAGGCCAGGCGTAGAACCCACAGGAGGCCCGGGAAACTCAGGCCGTGGCCAGGGCGGCCACAGTTCATGTGGCCTCAGCTTAGCAGTCACTCCTCGAGTGTGTCCAGGAGGGAGGTGAGTTTCCAAAGGAGGGAGAGGCAGCCCTTCCTGACAGATGGCCGTCCCCTCCAGCAGTGTCCTGAGGCAGAGTGGACAGGGCAGTCTGTCGTGTGTGTCGGGAGAACATTGCCCATGGTGGCCATAGTGAGTGGTGAGCTAGGAGGCTGGGAGCTGAGTTGGAGAGTTCCACATCACCTTAGAAACCAAGCCGGGCCTTGGGGTGCTGTCTGTGAGCTCCAGCCCCTCACAGAGAAAGTGCAGGAGCCCCAGAAGGGGGGTCCCAGCCAGCAGCCTCCCAGTGCCCACACCCATGGCCACACCCCCACACATCGGCCACTCTCTGGGTGGGGCCAGGGTCTGGGAGTCCCCACAGCCTGGCCCCTGGCCCAGTGTGTTGCCCCCTACAGAACACCTGAGTGCCAGCTCCTCCCTCGCCCGTGACACGATGGCCAGCTGTGATTCATCCCTGCTGAGGGCCTTGACACAGTGCACGGCCCTCCCTGAGCACCAGTTAGCTGCCGTCCAGGAAAGGGCGCTGGTGCCTGGGGGGCCACATGGGCACCCACTGGCACCCTCGGGGCTGTCCTCAGAGTCCCCAGCTTCGAGGCAACTGCACATCCTCTGCTGGACCGGCCAGAGTAGTCTTGAGCTTTGTAGGTGACTATGGTCTCAGCTGCCGGGTCCCGGCTCCCTGCACCAGACTAGGCCCTTAAATCCTGGCAGTGATGCAGAAACGCCATTTCCATCCCATTTTCAGGGGGAAACTGAGGCTTGGGGAGCTTTGATGCCTATCCATGTCATAGTCAGGTCCTGCTCCTTCCTGAGTCAGAGTGTCCAGGTGTCCGAATGGCCTCAGTGCCCGTGGGCTGGTCACAGGATGGGCTCAGAGCCTCGCCTCCCTCTCCTTTCCAGGATCCTGGATCGCACCTGCCCTGCAGCCTGGCTGCCCTGGCCCCAGGAGCTGCTGCACCCGCAAGGCGTCCACCTCCCTGCGTGAGGCCTTCCCGAAACTGCCTAAGCCTAGGCCAGCCTTATCGGGACCAAGTCCCCAACCAGCCACTGATCCGACTGTGATTGAGGGCGCTCCCGGCTCGGCTCTCATCCAGGGAGGCACCTCCCTCTGGCAAGGGGCTAGGGGGCTGGCCACGAAAGCCCAGAGGTCAGACTGGACAGCTACAGAGACCAGGGCCCAGATGAGGGTCCCAGCCCACCCAGAGACACGCAGCCGGTCCGTGGATGGGCTGGAGAGGGGCCAGGGCCGGCCTCTTTCTCAGGACATTCCGGAAGGACAAGGAGACGCCTGCCCTCTGCCAATGCACCAGCATCCCCACCTCCCGGGGGGCCTGCCTGGTCACCCTGGTGAACCCCGCCTCTGCCCACTTCCTAGTCCAGGACACCCAGCAGCCAGAACCGCCCTTGGGCCCTGGGGGTGGCCACTGGCTCTGGCCACAGTGCCTAGTCTTGGTGGCCATCAGGAAGGAGCTGGCCGACAGGGGCCGCAGGCCCTGCGCACACCCTCCACCAGCAGTGATGGGCAGAGCCCTGCCCCTCTGCGGGGGTCCAAGCACCCACTTTTCTAATCATGAATGACCAATAAAGCACCTGCCCCTTGGTGCCAGGCTTCGTGTGCCAGCCCTTCCCCAAGGCCTCCCAGCGGGGTGCCGCCTCCTGGCTCTTGGGTGTGGGGGACTCTTGCGCTCTTGGCATTTCTCAGGGTGAGGCTCGGAGGCACAGAGGTGGGGCTGGCGTCATCAGCATCCCTCGGGCCAGGCAACCCAACACAGGCAGAGCTGGTGTGCAGCCCGCCTGTCCAGTGTCACAAGCTCCCAGCACTCTCAGGGTGGCTTCCTGCTGCCCAGTTGGGGTCTTGGCTCAGGTCTCACCTAGGCGCTGGGTCTGTTTGCTGCGGCCTTTGCAGCCGTGTTGAGCCACCCTCCCGGTCAGTGGGG